CGGTTGTTCGTGCTTAAGGCCTGGGCTTTTGGCAAGGCTCTCGAGCACACATCTGCGCGCTTTTCCCATACTCCCGTTTCCTTGCGTCTGTCTCTCGCGCCATTCCCTCGCCTGCGACAGGAAACTGTATCAGCACAAAAGGGAGCGAGGGGCCCTTTCACAAGCAACATGATTTATTCCGAGCGTAACACGGGGCGTCGCATTTCCGCCGCCAGGCTTCCCCTCCAGCCGGTCGGGGATGACGGCGAGAAGTCCTTCTCGAATCCCTCCCTCGCAAACCCATTAATGATACCACCGCGCGCCCCCTTCTCCAACACCATCCCCTATCCCCCCCTCCTCCCTCTTCCCCCCTCTGCCCCAATCACCCACCCCGACTCTCCGCCATCCCCAACCCGGGGCCATTCCACGGCCCCATCGCTCCCTACTCTCCGAGGAAAAAAAGAAAAGAAAAACCGAGATAAATCCGAGCAAATGAGGCAAGTCGTGGCAGCCGCACGTTGTAGCAAATGGTGACTAAATCATTACTGGACGGGTAGTCAAGAGGCACAGCGCCTTAATCCCGCAGAGCCAGAGCAAAATTGGCTCCCACCATTGTCTCCGTTTACGTTAATGACATTTTACACTAAAATCAAGGAAACCGCGTAAAAGAACCAAACATCTCGATTCCGTCTGCAGAGCTGTAACGCCTCGGCAGAGCAAATGCTAGCTGGCAATTGTTTAGTGACCTTAAGCGTATGTACATGGGATTTTTGTCCACCACAAATACATAAACAGAGCTAAGTTCAGTGAACAGAGGTTGTCAAAATGGTTCCAAATCCCAAACTGAAACAGTTCTTAGGAGTCTTGACCTAAAGGTAAACGACGCTTTGTATACAAGCTAAACAGCCCGGGCCTTGTCTAACTACATCAAGGTCAAAATCTCCGATATACTGCTAAAATCTGATTGAACAGCAGCGCCAAACAACATCTAAAGGCAATACATCAAAACAGTGAGGCGAGGAAGAGCAAGCATGCCACGAATCAATAATGTGGGCAGAAGTGAGCCGAGGCAAAGACAAGGCTTATGCTATGCGAGTCAAGGCCGCTGTCACACCTTCCCGCACAATAACCCCAATAAGCTTTCACTTCGCTGCCATATTCAGCTCTTGTTCTACTCAGCTTTTCTCTCTCCCAAATGTTCAACGTAACATCTTATAGACACGCTGCATATACCATTTCAATAAAATGCCGATACCACCATAATAAAACATTGAGCACTGCAAATTAATCACAACTTCTGCTGATATATACAAGAAATTGCTGCCGTATGTGAGGATAACCTAAACACTAAGGTTCGAGTAACAACTGATATCTCCGTGGATTGTCGAACAACAGGTGCTCCACGCGTCAACGCCGGATCGGCGGCTCCGGAGTGGGCTCTTTGACGCACAGATGGTATCAGTTAACGAACAGGCCAAAGGTGGCCCGTTTTCCAATGTAGGTTGCGCATGAAGTTACATATGGCAGTGCATGCATTTGCACAGGTAGTACAGGAAATTATGAAGCGAGTTGTGCATGAAGTTATAATGGCAATTCATGAAGTTATAGAGGCAATAAACAAAGGTGGTACTTAAAGTTACCTATGTGGTACAGGAAAGTGCATAAAGAAATACATCGGGCAGTGAAGCGAGTATCATAGTAGGTGGCACATGAAGTTACACTGGCAGTGCATGACGTTATATAGTAGATGGTACATGGAAGTGTGTACTAAGCAATGCATGATTGCTTCGAGGGCAGTCTATGATGTACCGTAAGGAGTACATGAAGTCACATGTTCTATATATGAAGTGGGATTGGCAGTGCATGAAGCGGATCTCGGTACGGTCTCCCTCAGCCACACGCAGAACGCGGCACACGGACGGAGGCCTACTGTGGCTGCGCTGATTTGCCCGCACTCGTTCCCGCGACCAACCATCGCACCAACAACGACGGACAAACGCTCCTCTCGCGAAATAACTCTTCCGAAAGAAACCGGCGCCCGGAAATGCAAATCGATTTCCCGGCGGCGTACTTTCCCGTCCTTCATCAGGGGAAATCTTGACCCATAATGCTCCCGCTAATCCTGTTTCGTATAGCTGATAACTAGATTCGCGGCGCCTTTTGGGAACATCATTAGCAGTCGGGCAAGCGACACTGATGGATATAACATGAATTTATGAATGAGGAAAAAAAGTACAGATTAGCAAGACTCGGCATTAACAGCATGGCCATGGCTCGAAGCTGGCATTCAAGCGGCCCCTTTAACCTCCGCTCAGCAGCTCAAGAAGCGCGCAGCTCGCACTCTCCCAAGGCGATCATCATCAGAAACTTCCTTTGCAAGCTCAACTGCCCGACTGATCACGACCTCGCGCCTCGCCGGGAATGCAGGTCGGGCCGAATCCTCCAGTTTCCTTCGAGCGGCACCTCGCGCTCAGCTCTCAAGGAACGACTCCTGAATGGCCTCCATTCAAATGTTCTTCCC